TATATATTATATATATATATATATATATATATATATATATATATATATATATATATATATATATATATATATATATATATATATGATATATACAAGGTGTCCCACAACTGGTAGAACACCCATTAGGGGTAGGTAGGGAGTGCAATTTGGAACTGAATGTTCTTCCATTTTTAGATCCGACAATTATCACAGAGAAATAAATATGGATAAATAAATGAGTGGGTATGTGGATGGGTGTCTGATCGGGGCTAGGGTAGTGGCAAGTTTTCAATGTATGGGTGTGATGTATAGGTGTTTTTGTGTGCGGTTATGAGTGCATGGATAATTTGAATGTTTCTAGTGCGAGTGGGCGGAGTGATTGCATTTTATTTGCCGGAGAGGGGAAACATGTGTGGTATGTTTCCTTCGAGTGCGTGGGTGATTTGAATGTTTTCTGCATGTCGGTGGTTGAATATCATGAATGATTTTAGTATGTATATACAAAATGGGGAAAAAAACGAACAAGCAGGATCTCTGAGGAGTCCACGGCGTCCTATAGCCCTGAACGCTCACACTAAGGAATTGGCAGACTTAGTTAATTAATATTTCGTTATAACTAATTGTCGGATCCAAAAATAAAAGAGGAACTTTCAGTTCCAAATTTCACCCTCTACCTACCCTTAACGGGTGTTCTACCAGTTGTGGGACACCGTGCGTGCGTGCGTGCGTGCGTGCGTGCGTGCGTGCGTGCGTGCGTGCGTGCGTGCGTGCGTGCGTGCGTGCGTGCGTGCGTGCGTGCGTGCGTGCGTGCGTGCGTGCGTGCGTGCGTGCGTGCGTGCGTGCGTGTGTGTATGTGTGTGTGAGAGAGACATAAGTATATATAGATATAATTCTTAAGTGTGTAGTTTAATCTGATGCGTAATCAGAGAAATGAATATATCCCATAATAGCATTTACTCTGCTCAGTGACAAACATGTTGCAATATATGTTCAAGTTTTTAATAGCAAGGCCTTTTAAAAAGAAGTTTCATACATAATTTTGCATTTTATAGTCTTCTTTATGAATTTCCTTCGTTAATTGGCTCTAAAACTGCACATATATGTATGTATATATGTCGCGCTACGAAATGTGATATATGACACCTATTTAAAAAAGTAAAAGTATCACATCATTATATCATAGCTCGTTACTGTTAGTATTGAACATGAGCAAGACATATTTTAGATGTCCGCTTCCATTATATGCTAATCACATTTGACACTATAAGCTTTATATAATGTTATTTTAACTCTACCAAGTTATTAATACGTTATCTAATACAAGCTCTAATACAAATTAGTGTACGAAATGTACAGCATTAACATAAATAGTAATCATTAGAGCCATAAAAGAAATAATTATAAAAAAATTCTTAAATTATTTGTCTTGTATCTATGCTACTGATTATATCTATTACCAATTTTACCTCTGGTAAAATACCAGTTATAGTAATTCGTTGTGCTGTTTGAGGTAGTATTCTGAGAATATTATGTATCTATTATGTATACCTCTAGATTTCATTACGAGGCTTGATTGAGTGCCATTTACAAAAAAGAAAAGGGAAAAAAAAACATTCGTGGTTATCGCAGACACATTAAACTTACACGTTAGACTTTACTTGATGGCAATTATTGCTTTTAAGATTTTTATACCGAATATAACGATAACCGAGTTAAAGAATTGGATGCACTGGTGAGGATATTGGAAAGAACTGCGAATACTTTTTTTTTCAAATTATCTTTACGATTTTTTAGATATTTTCTCGAGATATAATTATCGAGATATAATTATCGAGAGATATGTCTTTGATTTAATAGTCGTGCGTTTTTCTTTTTTCTATTTTAAATATATATTATCAATAATATGTATTTTATTATTATCGATATAGATTGAACCATAACTAAATAAAAATTTGTCGTTATTTCGTGTAGTTTTGGATAAAATTGTTGGTAGTATATTATTATATAGGTCACTCTATATGGTGTCATGGAAGAATTTCCTAATGTTGTTTTATTTTTTATTATATAGAAAGTTTACATGATTATATGAGGAGAACTTGTCCAATTACCTCGGTACGTGCTATTGAGACTGGGCGTAAAATTAATACTATAATGTAATTATTACTGTTTTATTTAAATAAACAGACTCAAGACTGATGCTGGGTTTTTCTGGGGTGTATCGCGATAAATAAGTTTAAAAGTAAGGAAGTTATTAAAATCTATCATTTGGAGAATTTATTGGAGCTAAAGTCATTTCGTTGTATCTTCTTAAATATCGCACCTCCTTTTGAAAGTGTGAGAGCTACGAAAGAAAATCAAGTAGTAAATTTAGTTTTTAATTTTGATTTCGTGTCATAAACGAATTAAGTATACCTTCTCGATCTCGTTTTGAAGGTGTTCTTGTTTGGATTTTGGCGTTAATGTTTCTGTAGATTTTGCGATTTCGAATTCTTGCAAGGATCCTATCAATTCTTGAATCTTTTTATTTATATTTCTGAAATCCGATTTAATGTGTTAACATTTCGAAAAAATGATATTTCTATGTTTTTTTCATAAAATATACAATATACATTCTAGACTTACACTGGCGGAGCAAATTTGAATTTTCTCTGTTTCCGGCTACCCGAATAATTTCCCTAAATAAACAATTAATGAAATTAAAAAAACCTTTTGCTTTAGCTCAGATTATTTTAGGATAAAATGTGTATTAAAATGTTTTTTAATACCGTTTCCGATCGTTTTTTAATCTCAGGATAATCTTCTACATCAATCGCGAACGGAATGTCATCTAATAAATAAGTATATTTTATTATAATATAAATGTTCCATATTCTTTCTCTGCCGTACTATAAAAGTATTTAATGTCACATACCTTCGTTTCTTTTCGAAACTTTTTCCATACTTTTACTGAAACTATGCTTGCTACGTCTCCATTCTCTTATAGCATCTGTGTCCCTGTATATTACATAATACAGTTTACGCGTAGTATCTACAATTAGCGGGAACATAGTCGTAAAAAATATCTTACTTAATTCTCTGAATTGTCGCCGATTGTGCAGTAAGCAGATCTTTCGCTTTAGAGATCCAGTACAAGCGTTGCTCCATTGCAACGTTCGTTCCTTTACCGTCACATCTAATCGTAGAACAACCTATCATTTAATTTCTTACACACGTACATACAACGTAACTATACAAATTCTAGTGGAATTAAATTGCTTTTGTGTACTTTCTAAGGAAATTCCTCGCGATAGCGCGATCTGTACCTCAGCTATCGTTATATTTTATATCCCAAGATAATTTTTCAAGCATGATAATATGGAGCGCGAGTCTTTCAGTTGCATGGGACGCAGCTGCAATTTCCGCATGTCTTTCGTGACAATGTCGAAGATCAATTCGGCGTGCCGAGTGTCCTTATACTTCTTTCTCTCCTCGTTAAACGCGACGGACTTGTCGAACTTCGCGAGCGCTATGTGCCTTGTCTCGTTACTGATCGCCTTGATTCTACATTCTCTTTCGCGATAATGTTTATACGTTATCAAGCCCGTCACGTTTCGCCTAACGTAACACGACCTCGACGACGGTCCTGTTAAACGCAGGATACCCGCATCGACTTCGGCGATCTCTCTCCTGATGCAAGTTTTTCTGACGTCGTGACACGAAGTTATTATTCTTAAAAAAGCATGCTGCTCATCGCTTTGCCTTTCATCCAACATGCTCTCCGGCTTATCGTCGCTCTCGTTCCCCGTCTGTTCGTTAATCTCGACCTCGCGTTGAGTAGCGAGTTTTTCGGCGCACGACGCGCAAAGAGTACCATCGTTACGCGTTATCTCGCTCATAATATTTACCGAATTTTCCAAGATCGCATTAATCCGCACATGACTGTTGTACCTGTTGCTGGCTCTGTAAGCCCTGACTCTCTTCCTGACCGAAACACCTTTAAACGAATCGCCGATGTCAGTTATGCTCTTCGATTCTCGTCGTGGAATCTTTGCCAATCTATGTCGCTTCTCGCGAGGAGATTGATAACATAAAATTGTCGATGGTTTTGGTTCCATTTTCTCTGAAATACGTTTGATTTACTTATAATCGTGTTCACAGTCAGAATTATTTAATTGATTCAAGTAGAACGGATAAAATATTATATATAGATTAGAGTTTGATGAAAATGCAATCTGTTATGATGCAGAAATGTCGGTTTCTTACGTTCTACGAATGTCACGAGCTGGTCCGGGTGCAATTTATTCCACTCTGTACGCAAATAGCTGAGAATACTCGAACAGCCCAGAGCTATAATACTTTTTGGAGGCGTAGCAATAGGATTATCTGCCACGTTGAGAGTTTTAAGTCTTGGTACCAAGCCTGAAACGGTGCCTCTCGATTGTTATTTGAAAAACATAAAGCAGAATAAAGAGAGATTTGCAATAAAATTAGTACAGAAAATTTATTGTTATACCGTATCACTTACAAAGTTCCAGCGGCAATGTCTGGATTTTATTTCCTTGTAGCAAAATAGTCTCCAACGAAGGGTGCGATTTGATGGTTGTAGGTAAGCTGGTAAGTTGATTATTTCGGACATCCAACCATTGCAAACGTGGCAGAAAAGGAAAGAGCTCTTTAGGAAGTTCGAGCAAATCGTTATTCTCCAAATACAGCATCTGAAGAAGGATAAAACACTTCACACAATTCTTGTAACAGTCCAGCTCAATTCAAGTTTACATAACAATGATGTGACAAGGATTTTCCCGCCTTCTTCCTTGTTCTTTAATAGCTTATTCCATAAAAAAAATAACTTTTTATGATACATCACGTACTCGTATTGCAGGATATTTTTCCAACATTTCAATGGAAAGGGACGTAAGTCCAACACCTGTTAAGTCTATAAAAGTCTCGTTATATATGGGAGTCTTGTTTGGTAGTGGTGTCAAAAACGAAGTAACTACATTTGAAGACTCCTTCGGCTTTTTTCTCCCCTCTATCGAAGAAACGTCCGAAACATCTTCGCTTAGTGAGAGATATGAATCGTTCCCTTCGTTGTCTTCTGTCCGCATATGAAAGATCGAAGTGGTAGAATCATATTTTAGTGATATTATACACGCTCGAATAAATAGAAAATATATAATTTAGCGATTGTAAATTTGAGTAATAACATTAACAAATAAATAATTCTGGCGTTTACCTAAAGTAGCGGAGATAATCTTGTCGTTATTTGCGGTAACATTGTGCGCGTCTTTGCCGCTGGAAGCGTTCGTATTTTCATAGAAATTACCCGCCGTATTTGCTTCGAAAATAATATCGAATCCCGCTGATGTTTCATTGTCATTCTCGAGCGCTTCCCATTTCAATAAACGCGAGGATCTCGTCAGAACGTTATTGTCCTCGGAATTTCTTTTCTCGCTTTTAACATCGTCGTCCTGCAAATTTATCGTGAATTATCGTGTTTCGTTTATTTCAGTTGTGGAGATAACACATTTCAAATATAAGTTACTTCCATCTTTCAATTCATCTAACATTGCTAACTCAAACAACAGAGGCAAGTTGTATCAATGTCGCACCTGCACTTCCGTTTCCTTGAATGTGTCATCGTCATTAGTATCTATCGTAGATTGATTGCCAATTAATTTGTCCGCATCGTTCTCCGCATTGCTCGCGCATTCATGAATCGATAAGAATTTTTCGACTTTCGGTTTCGCAGAAAATCCATAATATTGGGCGAGAATGTTCTCCGTGGGATCTGACATGCCAAAGCCAAATGATAGATCTTGCTTACGCTTATACTCGAGAAATACAAATGATACTTTACAGCAAACCCGTTGTTTACTCGTCACCTAGGTGATTTCTCAGTTCTCTTTCATAAAGTTATAATTTTCAAGCCATCCAAATCTGAAGCCATAAGTTTAAAGTTGAATTATTTTGGATAGAAATCCATTTCGAAAAACTTGTTCTCATAAATTTAAATTTTTATATACGCTAAATCGCATAAATCTGATTTTTATGTTTCACTTATAGATGGCGTTGTATATTACCGATTGAGAAAATTGTTTAACATCAGTATTGTAGTTTGTTTTGTAAACATAGAGGCGCTTTGCATAAAAGGACACTAGAGACATTTTAATCACCCTTATAGAAATATCATACTAAGAATCATTGATTAATTATTTATTTTCGGTATTAAAAGTACAGTATTTAGTAATATTCTGTGATTCAAATACAACTTTTAGTACTCAAGTATTTCAATATTTAATGTTACAAATCCTACCTTATGATTGATTTCAATACTTAAATATTAATATGTAATATCAATATTTAACAGTGTTTTATTATCTGTATTTAACAATTTATGTATTTAACAATTTATGTATTTAACAATTTATGTATTTAACAATTTTATTATCAGTATTCACCAGAAATTAAGTACTGGTTAAAAAATTACTGAATTACTGGTAATATTTAATCACTAATAATTTTTCATTATTTCTTAGTATGATATTTCTATGAGGGATAATAACAACCAATCGAGAATCAACTTAGTATTTCTGTTGTAATGTACAATAGAAAGTCTGATCTTTTATTGGTTAGCTTTAGGAAGTTATTGATTACGCTTTACGCGAATTTAACAAAATACGCGCCATGGGGATTAGGTATTGAATGTCGACTTGCAAAATGACGTAACTTCTTGTAAATTACTATATTACGCAGGTTACGCTTACGCAAATTACGCCACATGGGGAGGCACCTAATACAGCCAAAAATTAGATTTGGCGTAACGAAAATAGCGTAAAGAGCACAAAATAACTAGATGGAAACTGGTACTTAAATGAGATGATATGATTGATTGGCGCAAGTTACTTTTAAGGGACGTCTACATTGGAAGTAAGTAGGAAGTAAAAGTAAGAAATTGACCAACCATAGTCGAATGTGAGAAGAATAATCAACTATGATTGGTCAATTTCTTATTCTTACTTCCTACTTCTTACTGCTTACTTCCAATGTAGACGTCCCTTTACGCAATTTACGCCATATGGAGAGGCACTCTTACACTACATTAATTGTGTCGTTTGACGCAGTCATATTGGGCACGTTCAGCAGACACAATAGTTGTACAACTGTTGAGTGATTCGTAAACGTAATTGGTCTAAATATAGGGAACCAACAGAATAAACCAATAAACATCGAGTGCTCACTGAGCGCTTTTATCTGCTGAACGCACCCATTGTTAGAACGCACCCTGTAGATAAAAGACAGAACAGAGCAAAGCAAGAGTAGCCATAAAATATATTAGTTGTAGATGGGAATAGATACTACTTCTTTTTACTCGCTCTACACTCGATATCGTAAGCACTTAATGGGTGCTTTCCAATTGCTTAATCACATCTTGACACACACGTATACAAAACCAGTTTATTGGTCACATATGTGGTCTGTTCTTTTCAGCTGCACTGCTGAACTGGTGCAATAAGTTAGAGTGAGAAAACATATAGTTGTCTTACTTTAACTTATTGAACCAGCTCAGCAGTTAGCTGAAAAGAACAGACCAATTATCTAAAATATCTTGTAAGATAATATGCAACCAATAAACTGTTTTTGTGTAACACAGTGTACGCAACTGGAAAGCACCCAATGCTTATTAATGTGTTATATATTACATTGTGTATACTGTAATTACATTTTAATTTTAATAATCTATATTACATAAATATTGCTTTCCATATTTTTATTGTTCACTTTTCATGTGAAATAACACAGTGAAAAGTGAAAAATGAAAATGAAGTTTACGTGAAAGATTCATGATCGCTACCCTGCTTTTTTGACGAAGTTAGCGATCTAGTATAGTATAGACATCTGTGACGCAGTGTGATGGCTCCTGCACACAGGACGCGGTAATGCTTGCTACGCGGCGGAAGTTCGCGCGACAGCCAATCAATACGCTGCTTTCCGTAATAACCTTCTAGCTCTTACGGAAAAATAACATATTGATTGGCTATCGCGTGGATTCCGCCGCGCGGCAAGCATTACCGCGTCCTATGTGCAAGAGCCATGAATCCTACATTACAGCTGATTGGTCGGTCGTCTACGTGTTGGTGTCTCTAGATGGCGCCACACGCCTAGCTCTGGTCACTAAAATCAGGCCGATGGCTGCTCTTAGTTTCACTCTGTCCCGTGAAATCTCCTTTTTCTAGTCCAGGTGGTTCAGAAACCATCGTTGAGTGTGGTAGAGTGATTCTCCCAGGGCAGATCTGTCGGAGGTCAAAAAGTATATTCAATCAGAAGTAATAATCGTTGAGATTGTTCATTGAACGCCACGTTTTCTTGAACCTAGTTGTTGTATGCGGACAACGTTGAAATGTCGGATTCAGAAGGTAACGTTTACGATATTTCGTCAACAAAAATGATAGCGTTGTTAGCATTAAAGATGTGGAATAGTGTCATATGATAAAATTTTTGCAGCGGTTAGTGATGCGGGTAGCCCTATAGGAAGATCTCGGAGTGTTTCTCGCAGCAGAAGTCGCTCCAGCTCACGATCGAGGAGTCCATCCAGGTCTCGATCACGTTCCCGATCGCCGTCTGGGTGAGTTCAAGTTTGTAACCTAACCTAACTTAAGCGCATCATTTCACTCATATTAACATCTGGACAGTTGCGCTAAATTTCACATGTTAGTTTGTATTTACATGTAATTTCGTTTTTATTTCTTTAACTTGATTTGTTATGTATGAAATATTTTTCTTCTTCTATAATCCAAATAGCGGTCCTCAATCTTTTTTCTTGAATACTACTAAAATTAACTATGCTTCTTGTTGAGATAACTTGGTTTCACCTGCAGAGATTATTCAGTCTATGCATCATAGTGCATACTACACTTTGCTGAGAACTGAGCTATATTGATTATTGTGTATTTTTTGAAGTACTTGTATTTTCCACAATTTCCACTATTTTCCACAAAAAATACAAATAACAATTAAATTTTATCTATAGCTCTGAAGATGGAGATGTAAAGATAGATGAAGCAGAGGAAGCCAGATCGGGTGATGAGGAAGCTCTTGATGAACCTGAGGAAGAACCTGAAGGTATAATTGGAAAATTTTCAATTTTGAATACATGCTAAACAATTTGTTCTTACAATAGATTTTCACGATTACAGGAGAAGACTTGGATAATAGCAGTGAATATGATGAAGAAGAAGATGAAGAGGATGAAGATAGGCCGAAAAAAAAGAAGAAAAAGGATAGATTTGGCGGCTTTATCATTGATGAGGCTGAGGTAGACGATGAGGTTGAAGATGACGATGAATGGGAGGAAGGTGCCCAAGAAATTGGTATTGTAGGAAATGAGGTAGACGAGTTAGGACCAACTGCACGTGAAATCGAAGGACGACGCAGAGGCACAAACCTCTGGGAGTAAGTATTAAAATTTCAGAAATAACATTAGACTTTTGTTCAACTTTACGACTTTCATTTTAATAAACAATCGTGTCGCAATTGCTTCTTCTTTTATTTAACGAACTTTTTATTAGTTCGCAGAAAGAGGACGAAATTGAAGAATATCTCAGAAAAAAATATGCTGACGAATCGCTTGCCGCTCGTCACTTTGGCGATGGTGGCGAAGAGATGAGTGACGAAATCACGCAGCAAACTCTATTACCTGGAGTGAAAGATCCGAATTTGTGGATGGTTAAATGTCGTATAGGAGAAGAAAAATCTACTGTACTTCTATTGATGCGAAAGTACATTACATACCAATTTTCGGGTAAGATATAAATTTCGGGAAAATAAAGAGCTTCTAGTTATCAAATTATATTCAGCTCATTCGTAATGGCTCTTGTGTCTTTTTGTGAAATTGCAGGTGAACCTCTCCAGATAAAATCTATTGTGGCACCGGAAGGTGTCAAAGGATACATCTATGTAGAGGCCTTCAAACAGGCGCATGTAAAAGCCGCCATTGAAAGTGTTGGAAGTTTGAGAATGGGTATATGGAAGCAGCAAATGGTGCCGATTAAAGAGATGACGGATGTGTTGCGAGTTGTTAAAGAACAGACTGGTCTGAAAGCCAAACAGTGGGTTCGCTTGAAACGGGGCATTTATAAAGACGACATAGCTCAGGTGGATTATGTCGATTTGGCGCAAAATCAGGTGCATCTGAAGTTACTGCCGAGAATTGATTATACTAGACCACGCGGTGCATTAAGAACAGCACAGAGTGAATCTGAAGCTTTAAAACGCAAGAAGAAGAGACGGCCACCGGCGAAGCCGTTTGATCCTGAGGCAATCCGCGCCATTGGAGGAGAAGTTACTAGCGACGGAGATTTCCTTATATTCGAAGGAAATAGATACAGTCGTAAAGGGTCTGTTTAATAATCTTTTTTTTTTTGGTAATATGTTATGAGAAAGACGATTTGACAAGTTCTTGTCAAAATCAGTGTAGAAAGTGTTCAGTATAGAAAGCAGCACTGATTTTGATTTAATATGACTGATGTGTACAGCGCGCATCTAGTCATATTTATGATTAGTGAGTGAGAGACTTGGAGAATAGCTTGGTGATCAAAATTATTATTAGAATTTTTTTTTATATGGATTTTAGTAAATTTAAAGTTGCTTGAATTGAAAGAAGAATTAAGAAATATGAGTAGCGCCTTTGAGAAGAAGAAAGGTCGAACTGGTAAAAAATGATGTCGCACAATATTTTGCTTACCTATCATGATTTTAATGAAAAGTATAACCAAAAAAAAGTGTAATGTCAAAATCAAGACATTTATTTACCGTTTTCAATTTGTTATATATCTTAATAAACTGCTTGTAAGATGTCATTAAGATTTGAGGTTAAATTAATACTGGAAGTAATTACTGGTTTCTATTTCTACTCTTTAAGTTGATACTATATACAATATGAACAACAACTTTAATGTTGAAGTCAGTTTAGTTCTGCCTGAGTTTGATCTTTCTTCGGATAAAAAACTTAAAAATGTAAATGTTAGTGCAATACCTTTCCTTATTATTGCACCTATATGCCACACACATATTCGATATGTCAAAAATTCTAAACTATTCACCTTTATGTACAGTTTCTTTTGTAAACATATGCATGCCATGTCCGTGTCTCCAAACTCACTAGCAGTACAAGTGGCAGTCGCCTTCCTCATATATTGTGTCTTCATCTAGTTTTCCATGTATTAATCATCCTTTATTTTACAGCTTTCTTTATAAAAATTTCACCACAAGTGCTATTATCGCGGAGGGTGTTAAGCCTACACTTTCCGAATTAGAGAGATTCGAAGAAGCGCCAGAAGGCGTCGAAATAGATTTAAGCGGAACGCCAGGAACCGGGGTTTCTGGAAAGGAAGATCAATCTGTTGCTCACTCCTTCAGCAACGGAGATAATGTAGAAGTGTGCGAAGGTGAATTGATAAATTTACAAGGAAAGATTGTTTCCATAGATGGAAACATGATTATGGTTATGCCGAAGCACGAAGAGCTTACAGAAGCCTTGGAATTCCAAGCTTCTGAGTTACGAAAATACTTCACAATGGGCGATCACGTTAAAGTAAGATATTAAGAACTATGTTAAGAATGTTAAGAAGAATGTTAAGTAACTAAGAAAGAAAGAGTTTATGTAATCTTGAAGAATATAAATTCGTAAGAATTGCTTAACATTATAATATCGTTTTAATTAATCGATAGGTTGTGGCAGGAAGATATGAAGGCGACACAGGCTTGATCGTCAGAGTAGAACATAATAGAGTAGTTCTATTCTCTGATTTGTCGATGCACGAGTTAGAGGTTCTTCCTAGAGATCTACAACTATGCTCGGATATGGCAACAGGCGTCGACAGTTTAGGTCAATTCCAGTGGGGTGATTTAGTGCAACTCGACGCACAAACGGTCGGTGTTATTGTTCGGTTAGAACGTGAGAATTTCCACGTGCTTTCCATGCATGGAAAGGTGGTCGAGGCGAGGCCGCAAGGTCTCACGAAGCGTCGAGAAAACAGGAACGCAGTCGCTCTGGACTCACAACAGAATACCATACAGAAAAAGGATATCGTTAAAGTAGTCGATGGACCACATGCGGGTCGAGGCGGTGAAATCAAACATTTGTACAGAAGCTTCGCTTTCCTGCATTCACGAATGTTTGTTGACAACGGTGGAATTTTTGTGTGCAAAACCAGACATTTACAATTATCTGGTGGGACCAAAACAAACGCGACAACTATGTCGGCAGTCGCTGGGTTTATGTCACCTAGGATTGCTTCTCCAATGCATCCCAGCGGGTTAGTTTATTATTATTATTATTATTATTATTATTATTATTCTTTATTATTTTTCCTCTTATTTATCAACTCTTATTTATCAACTATATTAGCATATTCTTTTGCCTGCTCTTAAAAAAGGTATTAAGATATTCGAAATTAATTTATGTTGTGTAAGCAATAATGATTGATAATGATGAAACAACTTCTCAATCTCATAAAGCTATCAATTGTTTTTGCTCTTTTTTATATATTACTATAATTATAGGGGAGGCTTTGGCAGAGGCGGTGGAGGTGGAAGAGGCAGAGGTCGCGGTGGCGGTGCAAGACGCGATAGGGAATTAATCGGAACCACTATCAAGATAACTGGCGGACCTTACAAGGGCAATGTGGGTATCGTGAAGGACGCGACGGAGACCACGGCGCGAGTGGAATTACATTCCACATGCCAGACGATTTCCGTGGATCGATCTCATATCGCAAATGTCGGTGTACCGACGAAGGATGGTGGTTTCAGCAGTTACAACAGAACTCCAGCGTACGTAGCTGGTGGACAAACACCGATGTACACCAGGGATGGATCAAAGACACCTATGCATGGCTCTCAAACACCTATGTACGAAAGTGAGTAGTTCTACACATTATATGTCCCGATATAATCACGGTTAGAAGAAAGTGTGGAAGAATATAACGTAGAATACAATCTATATATCTTCTTATCTTCAATCGAAAACTGCAATCTTTAATGTATCAATTGTTTTTTATTTTTAATGTTACAGATGGCTCTCGTACTCCTCATTATGGTTCAATGACACCGTCTCACGATGGCTCGCGAACACCAGGCCAGTCAGGAGCTTGGGACCCGGCTGTCACAAATACTCCCGCCAGAACAAACGATTTCGATGGCTACAGTATGGAAGAGGGTGGCTCGCCTGGCTACGCGCCTGGATATCCTCCCACCGGCGGTCCGTTCACTCCGCAAACTCCAGGCACTATGTACGGCTCAGAACAAAGCTTCAGTTCGTACCAGCCGAGTCCTAGTCCTGCTGGAAGTGCCACTGCGAGTCCAAGTCCTGCAGGTTACGTTGCCACACCATCCCCAAGTGGAACTGGATATACCACAAGTCCACATGGAGCATTCGCAACTCCATCTCCAATCGGTTATAGTCCTATGACACCAGGTAAGTAATTCTCTTGTAATTGAATTGTGCAAAAAAATATTTATACATTTTATACTTTTTAGTATGAGAAGTACATACAAGAAGAATATGCAAAAAATAAATAAATGCACAAATTTTTTTTATTTTATCCACTGTATGTAAGTCGAGTTTCATACTTTTATTCGTTTTAAGACAATAACAGCTTTAATTTTAATCTCGTGTAATACCATATTTCTTTTATCATATTTTAAATCGATTGTTTTTTTTTTTGCAAATATAACAAGTTCTGTAAAATATCTTGAAATTAGAAAATCTCATTTTATTTTTATAAAAATCTAGGTATCTCTGGTATCTAGATATCTAATTAACTTTTAATCAATTTGTTATTGCATCAATGTAACAAAAATTGTCAATATCAATCGATTATCTCACATTGTGATAATTGTCTATTTTGGACATTTCAATAACAGATGCAAGTCCAATGGATTCATTTGATATCAAAGTTAATTTTTTATATATATATTACGAGTTATATAAGACGTAATTGGAATTACAGGTAGCCCATACAATCCACAAACACCTGGCGCAGGATTGGATACAGGTGTCGGTTCTGGTATCATAGGAGGCTCAGAATGGCACACAACTGATATCGAAGTACGCATTCGCGACTCCCATGACGATCCTGCGCTCGCTGGTCAGCAAGCAGTCATTCGTGGAATTTCGGTAAATTGATTTTTTATACAATAATTTAAAATAATGAGATATTTAACTGTTTTTTTTAATTATAACAATGTTAATATTTATATATATACGCACATCTTTTTTATTTTACCAATTTCTAACAACGAACCGTTTTATTCATAGGGCGGTATGTGCACCGTTTACTTACCTACCGAGGATAGAGTTGTCAACTTAGGGTGCGAGCAACTTGAACCTGTAATACCGTCGCGCGGTGATCGAGTCAAAGTAATTCTCGGCGAAGACCGAGAAGCCGTCGGCACTTTGCTCTCGATCGACAACCAAGAAGGAGTAGTAAAACTTAATACGGAAGAAATAAAATTCTTACAATTAAGATTTTTATGTAAAATGAAGGCTTCCTAAGACTTTCTAATTCTGCGCATCGATAGCCAGATTTTTTGCAGAAATAAAGAAACGAGATTTTCTAGTTCCAAGATATTTTACAGAACTTGTATTTGAAAAAACAATCAATGTAAAATATGGTACTACAAAATTACATGAGATTAAGATTGAAGCTGTTATGGTCTTAAAACAAATAAAAGTACGATACTGATTAACGTACAGTAGATAAAATAAATATTTGTACATTTATTTTTTTTTGAGTACATGAATATTGACAATGATGAAAATATATGTATAATGTATTATTGAACAATATTGGAATACTTAAGTAAACATAAATGACATTACCTACCCAATAATTACTGAAAATGCATCTTATGTAATATGATGTTATTTCGCTACTATTATGTCATTTAACTTTCACAAATTAACATAAATTTCTCACACTGATTTTAGTATATTTCTCTTTTTTTAAGAATATCTAAGAGTGTTTTAATGATAAACTTGTATGATATTTTAATGAAGAATATTATATTTTGAAGGAATAAACAGCGCAAAAAATTTATGTATATTATTACTAAGTGACATACAAAGTTTGTATTCTTCATTAATCAGCGCTTACGTATGCATTATGTATGCATTATGTATGCATTATGTATGCCTTAATATATGCGATGTAAATAAACATAAGTACATACATATCGTTCAGTGCGTTCATAGCAGCTGAGTAACAGATACTATAGTGTCTGAATTCATACAATCGTTTTAAATGAATAATAGCGGTTGTCGCATCATCTACAAGTTGATCGATATCTTATATTGACTATAAGTTACTTATAGTAACTTGTGGCAAATAAAAATATAATAAAAAAAATGTATTCGCCCTTTAATATATCGATTAAAGTAAATAAGTATATAAACAAAATAATATTTAAGAAATACGTGTCCGTCTTTAAAAAAAATTTAAATTAATTTAAAATAATAATAAAATTAACATTTCTTTAAAAGTAATGAGTATAAAAAGTATTTAACGCGCAGTTTCTCTTATAACGCGTTGCATGGATATTTATTATTTATAAATATCAGAAGATTAGTATTTTCATTTTTTGATATACATAGCATGTAGAAAATAAAAAAATATATATTATCAAAATATGTATATTATAATAATTAAATATACATATATTAAATCAAAATATGTATATTACAAATATATAGGATCTGTTACTGAGTAGCATTATACGATGGTAACGATGTTATGTAAAAAATATTAAGAATACACATTATACACATTCTTCAAAAAACTTTTATAACATCTATTTTAATATCGATATATTATATTTATGAAAATACGTAGTATTATATATATATATATAATTATATTTGCCTTTTTTTGTAATTACAGCACATAACTATTTTTATAAAAAATTGAAATTTTGTAATTTCTTATTATTTCGATAGAAAACAGTAAGAAGCTACGCCTGAAGTTATCGTTCTATTGCTACGAAATAACGCAAGTGACAGAAGCGTAATACTCGAGAGCAACGTGTGCGAGCCGTTGAAAGGCTTGCCAAAAATGTTTAAGAAATCCGTGAGAAGAAAATCACGCGGTTAACCACTTGAGACTCTCGTTTCGGAGTATGAACATATGTTCTTTATGGTTCCTCTTAGTACTTGTAGGCTGCATCTTCAGTAGAAGGTACTTGATTCACATTTGCTGAAGTATGTATATCGTTTAATCGATGATTAAATGTTTTCATGTTCGTTTAATTGCGCAATATCAACCCGATGAGTAAATAATAATTTAATCTCTGTTTTAAATTAACATTGAATTTAAGCAAACTTAATATATTAAACACAGCTGTTTCCAGCTGATTCGTGTTTTTAATGCAGTCGTTGTGTATCTCGTGGCAGGGCAACCGGTGCTAAATCTTCTAAACGTAGTCAGAATGTCGGCACCGTTTTATTTGAGAGAAACGATTATGGAAAGCAATGCTGGACTAGCGAAGAATTTGCCGTCCTTAACAGCCGAAGAATATTCCAAGACATTTTGCCCGAGGTGAATCCAATTATCCTCCGACAATACTGCATGCACGCGAGCCGCACTATGAGAATTGAATTCGCGGAATCTTATCTGCATACAATAAAAATCACGGAAATTAAACTCCCGCTGCTGATACACGTTCTTCAAGTCTAACTTTGGACCAAATTATTGTCAAACTGGCAAGCTTGCACAGAAGCAATAACTTCACAATGGAATAATTTTTACTTCGTTTCGCCGGAAACTCGTAACATGTGATTCGATTTATTTGCGTTTCAATTTCGATTTACTCAGCGCTTCAATTTCCCACAAGGGAAAACCAATATTCGGATGGTACTAAATAAAAATGATGGTCCGGATAATCTCTCTCACATATACACGCGCGCGCGCGCGCACACACATACGCACACGCGCATAAACAGTAACGGAGTATCGAAGGATTCGCGCGCGGAGGAGTTTCTAAAATCTTTTTCTCCGTTAGGTGAAAGTCATCGATCCGCAAAACGATCAGTACATAGCGCACCTGATGGACTATTTTCACACATGCCTCGAGAACGTGCGGAGGTTGTCCGTGGGCAAAACGAAGCATCTGATGCTGAAAGCTTTGGCTGACACACTGGGCGGTTACTTGCGGGTCTACATCCTGCCTCTCACGAGACACTCCTATTACGCGGGGAATATCAAATATCGCAACGCGAAGATGCTGTTCGACCTCTTCGACGAGCTGAAGACCTTCCTGCGGACGAACGGTGCCGGCTGGTCGAAGCCCAGCCAAGACGTCCGAGACGTCAAAATCCCGTCCATCGCGATCACACCGCCGAAAACGTCGCTCGCTTGTAACGGACTCATCACGTATTCGGCGCGTAAGTCGGTTCTTTGCGATTTAAGGCTCCTGGCCCCTCGTATTGTCTATCTCTTTTTAATGACGTCAGGAGCGAGCAAATGCATGCTAAAAATTCTTGCGAAATACATTGAAATAAAAATATATATCCATCCAAAGTAACACTTGCAATCGATTAAGCAAATTTGTAAGATATTCCGTGTAAGATACTCCTCTTTTGCTCTAACAATCAATAATTTATTGTAAATTAATTTGAATAGAAATAGGCGAAAAAATAGGTTAAGAAGATGAATTATGTATGTCACGTTAATTTACGATAAATTATTGATTGTTAGAGCAAAAGGGGAGTGCACGGAATATCTTACAAATTTGTTTAACCGATTGCAAGTGTTACTTTATGAATATATATTTTTATTTTAACATATTTCGCAAGAATTTTTAGCATACATTTTCTCACTTCTGACTTCATTAAAAAGAGATAGACAATGCGAGGAGCCAAGAGCCTTAAAGAGATCTTCGCGAATAACAAGTACAAATGTGCATCGATCCTTTCGTTAGGACCGTTGCTTCTGTTAATCAACGATTGTCGCAAAAGATAGTGTTGGTATAACACAAATTTTCGTAGTAATTGGAATAATTGAATAAGAATTTGATAATTTGTTGTGCGTTTTCCAGTATCTGAGCGCAACAGCGGAGATTACCGAAGTTTCACGTTCAAAAGAAAGAAACGTTCTACGGTGAAGCGGGGAAACGCAAGACGCGCGATCAATGGTGAGAATTCAGGAACGTGTTTATAATTAAGAAGCTTTATAATTAAGAATAAGAAGCTTTTTTTACTATTCTTCATGTTTATAATTTTTCGAGCGATCATCTTTACATCTTCGCGATCACACAGTCGGATCACATCTTTGTTTTGTACGATGAGGTAACTATATTTCCGTGGAATTCGCGAGATATTATAATAAGGAGGAATTATGCAGTTATATATAGTGCTATATTTTTAGTTTTTAATAGCAGTTCTATTTCGATTGTTATCAATTCTCTGTTTTTTGAGAATCATGAGACGATGTAAACTTTTATCTTGATAAGGATATAATAAGGAAAATGCGGCGGACGAAATCGTAATACCACTCCCGTTCCTCGATAACGAAGTGGAGCCCAACAGGTAGTTACCAAGTAGCATTCGTAAGAACGTCTCGCCGATCAAGCAGTCTCAACGTGTATTTTTTATGTAGCATCGCCCTGCCCTTCAAAACCGACAGCTTGCAGTCATTGTACTCGGAGAAGTCGGCTTTCGCGCTCGTAAAGTACTACATTGTCAGCGCGAAGTGCATTGCCTCGCGATCGAGCACGAGAACGCAGTTGCGGATGTTCAACAAGGACTTGCACAGCTGGTTGCGACAATCCGTACGTTGTGAGTTGCTGCGACTGGAAAAACGTGGCAACGAGCTCGTAATTGCACGCGTAATTGCAGAGCGGCGAATCACGTAACGGACAAATAAGTCAGAATTAACGTTTTGGGCGAACGAAAATGAAATTCAGATACAATGAAAAAGGGAATGATGAAAATTTTGTGTGTTGCATTAAAGTATGTTTTGTGCCAAGAAATAAAAAGAGTACAAAATATTCATACACCATATTGCAGTTATATTAAAAAAACTAAATTTTATGATAAGATATTTATTTTACTTTATTTATCTTCTATAATAAAAGTAGAGAGAGAGAGAGAGAGAGAGAGAGAGA